TAGATAGATAGATAGATAGATAGATAGATAGATAGATAGATAGATAGAAGAAAGAAAGAAAGAAAGAAAAGAAATGTTTCTCCATACATCCTTCTAAAAACATTTCTTCATTATATGTATGTAAGTATGTATATAATAAAATAACAATTTTTGTCTTAATGTATTTATAAATAACGACACACCTCTTTAATATCTAACAAAACACCCCCTACTCCACCCTTTTAATTTTCCAAAGCAAAACGTTTTAAGCCTTTAAGGTTTTCGAGTATTTCTAGGAAATAACAAAAAACAAGAAATTCTAATAAATAGAAAATATGTTCATATATATGTATGTTTCTAACAATTGTATTTGTAACATGAAACAATTTACAACTCCTTTTTTCTTTTACTTTAGAAGACAAAGCAAAGAGTTAGAGTTTCGAACATCATATGATTATTAAGCCTAAGGGTAAGTTTAACAGTGAAACAACTGGTAAATTACTTTGAATATTAAAAATTGCTGACAAATACACGCACACTCAAACACGCACTGTCATATACTAAATACCAACAACATATTATGATAACAGTTGAAATCTATATCAAGGATATAACCCAGTTGCCCTGGGAGGAGTTAATGTATCAGTTTTCTTAAGTATCCTAGAGACGAAATCTAAAATTACTACAGGTTACCCAAATACTCTAGAGAAAAGCCACTTTAAACCTATTCTTCTGTATTACAACTTAGTATCCAACTAATGCAGATAAATGTTTCGTTAAACAGTTTTTCTGCATTATGACTAAGTACAGTAGTTACCTAACTCACCACAAGTAATCTATAGCAGAGTCAGTTGTTCATTTATATGCGTATTAAAGTGACCTTGTAGTCCATAAAGGAAAAATAACTTCCTTTCAGATCTAGCACAACATGTATAGATAGATAGCTTTTTACCATAACTGATGATGGGGACATTCTTTCCCCTTAACTACAGGGGTAAGTCATGGTGTTAAATATTTTGCTTTAGTGTATAATATTTCCTGCTTGTGTTTTTTGCTGCGTTGGCGTTTAGTTCTTTTGAGTTGTGATATTGTTTGTTGTTGTTCCTCTTCATTCCATTATGCAGAGTAATCTCTGTGTGATATTAAATAATGTAACAGTTTGAACGACATCAGCAACTGTTGTGTGTGTCATATAAAATAATGTTGCTTTCGAGGACTTTTTCCATATAAGTATTAGGGGTGATCACTTATTGGGGGCAAAAAAATAGGGACCAAAAAAGAGAAATAAGAGCGTTGTACTCGGATATCGGAACTATAAGTAGACTTAGGTCTTAACGGATCGGTAGTTTAGTAACTTTATAACCTTATAACTTTATAACTTATAACTTTATAACTTTATAACTTTATAACTTATAACTTTATTATAACTTTATAACTTTATAACATTATAACTTTATAACTTTATAACTTTATAACTTTATAACTTTATAACTTTATAACTTTATAACTTTTTAACTTTATAATTTTATAACTTTATAACTTTATAGCTTTATAATTTTATAACTTTATAACTTTATAGCTTTATAACTTTATGACCTTATAATTCACTGTGGAAAGCTTTAGTCCTTTAGCTCGTCCCGTTTGGATAATTTGCATTTATAACAAACAATTTAGTAGACTGTGATTATCCCTCATAAACTAACTCCCTCTAACTGCGGGCGTAAGCATGTACGTATAAACGTGGAGCATGTCAATCTAAAATATTACAAAGTTTAAGTACTTTTCTTATTGTAGGAGCTAAAAATCTAGTTGAAGTTGCTGTTTACTAACATTGGCATTACAAAAACAGGGAAAGGGTTCAAAATTTAGATGAATTTGCTGATGATGCTCTCGCGCTGCTGCTCGCCATGTGTTGTGCTTATGTGTTAAAATTACAATTTAATATTTTTACTTAAACGTTTTACTATAGAATTCTGGGATTTACTTGCAATTGTTGGAAAAACGATATGTCTTTTTCCTTCAACTTCATGGGGGTTTATATGAATGATGTTTAAATGTTTTTGTTTTATTTGTTTCATTTCGTAGTATAACTTGTAGTAGTAGTAGGAGTAGTAGAGTTAAGTATATTGTTTGTAATTATTATTTCTTAGAAAAATAATTAAAATGTTAATAAGTTAAAGAGTTCCTTTTACGAAACAACAAAAAATAACTAAAAAGTAAAATAAATATAGAAAAGAAAAATACAAAAGTAAAATTAAAATTAAAACAAAAGAGATTTTTAAATTGAAATTGTTAAGAAATTGTTGAAAATTGCGAAAATGAAAAACTTTCATTACAAAGTAAGGGGTTAGCATTAAAATAACGATTATAAGTAAGCATTATAATTTAGAATTCAAATTTTGCTGAATTTGAAACATTTTAATATAATTTTTTAATTTCAATATGTTTTCTTTGCAGATTTTATCGCTGACTAGAGAAAATCAACAGGATTTTAGAAATTGAAGGACTCTTAAGACAACAGGTAAATATTACTTTTAAATGATCTATTCCTAATAAATATTAAATCAAGATCCCATGATCATGAACTTATAGATCAACCTTATAACTTTATAACTTTATAAATTTATAACTTCATAACTTTATTACTCTTTAACTTTATAACTTAATCCCATTATAACTTCTTATTTATGTTTATTAAATTTTCTGCTTTTATCCTTAATTTTAGCAAACTTTTTTTCAAAGTTCAAGGTTTTTCTTTATTTAATATTAGCAAAATTTGCCATAACCATTGATTTTCAAAATTTAATTTAATATTTTCATTTAAAAGTCTATCTATCTTTCTAATGCTAAATATAAACAGCCTTTTTCTATTTCTCATTAAAAATGAAAAAAAGAAAACATGTTACACATTGCTGAGCACAAAATTTCTAAACCATAAAACCAACAAACTGAAAAAAAGGATGTCAAAAGGACCTTTGTAAACAGAAATGTTTAACAACAATGAATTTATTTATGCGAATTATTTTAGAAATTTCTATTATATAAAAAAATAAAACAACTACATTAATATAACATTAAAAAGGTTACAAAAACATTATATTTTGTTTGTAAAATGAACATTTTGTTTGTAAAATGAATTTACTAAAGAATTAAAACAAAAAATAAATCTAAAACATAAAACAAATTAGATATTACATTACAAAGCACATGAAGCATAAACTAGCAACAGCATTAAAAAAAGGACACAGATAAAATATTTTTTATATAAAATAAATTTAATAAAAATGTCGTTTCTATCAAAATCAAGTTGATTTAATTCGCAGGATTATTTTGAATTTAAACTAAAATCAAACATAAAGAAAAATGATTATGACAGATTTGTGTGCAAAATACACAGTTTTGTAATTTTTGCAAATAGATTCTTAAAAATGTTTTATCTAATTGGTATTGGTATGAAGTTCTTTTTTTAAATGTTTCTCAAGTACTGATCAAATAATTAACAAGTATATGTGGATGTAATTCAGGATCATATGAGTATCAATACAGCAATGCTCTCACTAACTATGTTGGAAAACAAAATTTAACCAGATTATATTGAAATACTAATAAAAACGAAAACAACTTTGCCAGCATGTCATCCAGCCAAGATTCTGACAGCAGCAGATTACAAACCAGATTTAAGATGCCAAAACTGCAACACAGATAGAGATCCCAAACACTCCAGGGAAACCATAGCAATAATAAAAGCTGATAAGATTATATAAATGTTCAAAGTACGAAAAACAAAGAAACAAAATGTTATTTTTTCTCGCAAAAAATAACAGATGATAATAAGCAACGCCCTTATTCTTCGTATAGGGCTTTTAAATTAAGCCTAAAAGCCGGGAATAAATTTAAACAATATAAACACGATCATGCAGCGGCTTAGAAGATCAAGTCTGTACAAGTTTAAAAACTTAATGCTGTTGTATCGACAATTGTAATTTGCTGAGTTTTACACCATTTATAAGGAATGGTTTGTTGAAGTATATGGGGCCTAAAGAAAACCCTTCAAACATTTAGAAGACAAAACTATTGCGCATCACCCCAGACGCCACGTCAGAAACACTTCTGGACGGTTGTCAGACGAGAACGCACATTTTACAAAAACAAAATACATTGATTTCGAATTTTCGTCTTCTAGAAATACACTTTTAAGTTTCTTCCGGATGATAGTTAGAAGAGTCCATCCATTTGCTTAAACAAAAAACATTGACTGTTGAATTTTTTTCATCTGGAAGTATACGTTTTAGTGACTTCTCTATGAGAGTTGGGTGAGAACACACATTTTACAATAACAAAATACATTGTTTCCTAATTTGTATCTTCTTGATTTGTATGTTTATGTCACTTCTGGAAGACAGTTTGAAGAGTGTTCACATTAATGTTGTATTTTATTCATCTGGAAGTGTGGATTGTAGTCACTTCTGGACGATTGTCAGACGAGAGCACACATTTTACAAAAACAAAATACATTGATTTCTAGTTTTCGCCGTCTGGAAGTATACTTTTAGGTTACTTCCGGATGATAGTAAAAAGAGTACAAAAACAAAAAAATATAAATACTCCATTTTTTTAGCGTGAACGCGAAAAAAATAAAAATAAATAATGCAGAAATTTTGCTAAGTTCAGTGATGTTTTGCGTTTTGTCCAGTCATCTTCAGTTTTAATTATTCATTGTAAAACTTAAATGAGTTATTGAGTTTAATGTTCATAGAAAAATAGTGTAATTAATATATTGTAAATCTTAAGAAAAAAAAAACAATATGACAGTGTTGTGTTAAAAGTAAACTGTTAATAAACATTTAAGAAGGTTTTGTTAATTGGTGAAGTTTATTAAATTAAATAAATAAAATTGAAAAGTAAGTTGTAATATTTTACATTAAAATAGTACTATATTTTAGGAATAAGTTAACAACTCTAAACGGCTTCCATTTCCATTATTTTTAAACGAAGTCTAATATGTTTAATTAAAAATGTTTTTATATAAAATTTCGTCTCTCTCTTAATTGGTTTAGGAGTTATAAGCATTTAAAGACTTTTTCAAGTTGTAAGTTTCGGCTTTCATTTGATGAATATTGCATTTTTAACCTATTTAGATTTATTTGAGTTAAATCTTAACTTTCAATATTTTTTAAACTATTAGCGCGTTTAGGTCCTTTTTCTAGATTACGTATGATCACTTTGAGCTAAAATTTTATTTGTATTTCATTATCGTAACCAAATACATTAAAATTTTTACTTAAAGTATTCAAACGCTATCTGGAATCATTATATTGAAATTAATACTACTGTTTTATACATAAATTATTTTTTGACTTGGGTCACTCGACACGAAATTGCCCATATAAGATATTTAATATTGAAAACAGATATTTTTAAACCCACCTTTTTTTAAATAAATACAATTTTATTAATTTTCATATAGCTTTGGATTTAATTATTCTAATTATAGGTACTTTTTTAGTTATTAACACCAGGTCTTTTTCAATGAGCTATCATATGATACTAATATTCTTAATATTGAGCATGCCGTTCCCAAGATATTACCTAAGTAGATAGTTTTTGAACGTGTATAACTCCTTAATTAGAAGAGAGCAAAATAGTATTGCAGTATTAGTGTCAAAAGCAATATCCCGTTTAGGGTCGTTAAGGTGTTTCTATCGTTAGTGACTGTAAATAATTTTAAAAATAATCCATGGCTTAGTAATTTCAGATCTTTATAGATGGTTTAATTCCAAGTTATTTAAAAAATGTTTATGAAAGGTAATGTTTTTATTGATTAAAAACAATAAATAAATAAATTAATTTTTAATTATTTTATTTTTTTAGAAAGTAGTAGCTAATATTGTACCCCCTATTAAAATACTTCTAACCGAATTAAAATATAAAAAAGGGATCTGGTAAGTTATATATGTCTTATTTCATCACGCGGTTCCATTAAAAATGTCGATTATTTGCAGAAAATGTAAAAAATGGATCTGAACGTTTAAATTTCGGTGGGAAATGTATTGATCATAAGAGAATCCTATTTTTATTGCTTCCTAAAGTATAACAGGTAATTTCAATAAATACAAAAGTATGTATGTATATTAAATATTAATTATAACATTATTTTTGTTTACTTCGTTGAAGGATTAATGCGTTCCAAAATATAACTCTTACAATTTGATGGATTGATCATAAAATTTATGAAGAACTACAAAAAGAGTCCAACGTTTTACAATTTTTGGAAGTATACCAGTCAACAGTTGGAATATTAATACAGATTTCCTGAAAATTATCTTATTATAAGGTAATAATTCTAAATTGTGGATACATATGTACATTAAACCGACTCACTCTGTATGGAAAGCAAAAACGTGCTTTTGTTACCTCTCTCAAAATTTACCTTGCTTTGTTTTATGATGATTCCGAAAATATTTAAAGTCTAGCGATGACCGTTCGTGAGCTGGACCAAATTAAAAAAGGTATTTTGGAATTATTTTTTTTAATTTTTGTTTGTTTTGAAACAAAATATCCAATACGGGGTATCGTTTAAAAGGTATTTTAAAGCCGCGTCCAATGATGTATTAATCATAAATAACCGTCTTTTTATAATTGTCATATTCCAAAATATTTAAAATTGTTAGGTTTTTCACTAAAAAAAAATAAAATGTATGCACAATTTTGCGCACCACTAGACTTGGCTTCAAAAAACCTTTCAAATGATACTACATACTATAATGGACAACACTTAACAGAAAATATTTTGGGTAACATCATATTACATAACAGCGAATATTATGAGGCACCATTTTTTGTGAGTCGGTCTAATGTACATACATATATTACTTTTTTTAAATTAGTTGTTAAATCAATTATTTTTCTACTATTTTAATTTCAATTATTTCAATAAAAACTATAAAATTTCATTTTATTTAGATTTATTTTTATAGATTTTATTTTGGTGAGTATACAAATAGAAGAAGAGAATACTCTTCTTCTAGAAGAAGAGAAAACTCATCTTCTAGAAGAAGAGAAAACTTATCTTCTAGAAGATAAGATAGGAACACTTCTAGATGATACTAAGTAGTCACTTCAAGAAGTGACTTCCTATTTACATCTAGAAGAGTCTTTGGCAATACCTTACTTCCAAGAGTCATCTAGAAGTTTCTTCTGGGGGTCTTCCAGAAGTATCTTCCACGTTACTCTTAGACGTTCCCCAGCTCGGCATCAGTTCTTCCCGACTGGTGACAAGAATTCGTATACTTCCGCAACATCGCTGGCGAGCTTTTAGCACGTTTGGAAGTTTCATACGGGTAACTTCCGCAATAGAAAATGTTTGTAGGGAAGCTTTTGGACTGCACAAGAGAAATTATAGCAAACAAATAATTTATAAGGTTATAAAGTTATAAAGTTATAAAGTTATAAAGTTACAAAGTTATAAAGTTATAAAGTTATAAAGATATAAAGTTATAAATTTATAAAGTTATAAAGTTA